TCTTGCCAGCCTAATTCCCTAAGACGTTCATCCAACAAATCATTTATATGCTTCAATTCGTCCTGAGTTAGGATTTGATCGGCTCTCAAGGACTTGCGCTGATATCCACCGTTGCTGAAACCGTCGCTGCCATTGGTTCCGTTATTTCCATCGCTGTTTTCCATGATTCTATGAATAATTTTTTCAAATTATTAATTTTGTACTCATTCACACAACGATATGAAAGCTTCAAAGTAATTTTTCCACCTCATCTACGATGTATGTGAACTGTCGACGTGATCAGATTTGCTATGCCTTCTGTGCTTCACATATATGATTTGATGAAACATTATTTTCATTGGCTTCCAGTATTAAATAGCTACAACAGATTTTGTAAAAGTTGGGTATACAAAATCGGAACTATTAAATACACACGAATATATATTTAAAATGTTGAGACTCTAGTTCTGGGCCATATATTCTTATTACTGATTTTCGCTTAGATTTTCAATCGATAATTAAATAACGGAAGCAGCTATCTATTTTTGGAATCAAACTCGATCTGCGAAAAATATTTCAAGTTTCTAGCTCTTATAACTTCTGAGATCTAGGCGCTCATACGAACGGACGTACATGGCATGCATACTCGTGTATACCTTACGCAGTACAAGTTTATCATATTTTTTCGATAACTCATCCGATAATATTCTATCGAGAATAATCGAAAATTTGATTTTGTTTTTCTTTTAGCTTAATTTGAGCACCTTTAGACCTGGAGACTTCAGACATATGATGAATACAAAAATTTTGTAATTTACAGATTTTGGATACCACGCTCCCTTCGCCCCCAATTTGTATAAAACGTATTTCAAGTACTAGAGACTTGTGCTTCGGAATGTACACACACTCAAACCATATGATCACGATCTGAAAGTTTCATAAAGATAGTCCTGCTATTCAACTAATAAATTCCCATAATTTCGCTCACACTGCAGCGCAGCCCAAACGCAGTCGCTGCTTACTGCGCAGTTGACAGAGCGCGTGCTTATACGTACGTGGGGATGGATGTGTATGTATGCATGTGTGCATAAAATAAGGGTTTAGGGTATCTCCTAGTCGAGCAGTCTCGACTAGAGCAATCTTGTTCGTTTTCCATTTGCTGTGTTTTCTGACCGATTGACTGACTTACTGAGTGACTTACTCACTTGCATAGCTTGGAGATTAAGGGTATACTTTAGTCGGCTAGTCTTTGCGCAATGCTTTTGACTGATTCGGATTGATTGATTTACGAGCTCAGTGATTGAGTGGTTAATTGATTGATTGTTTGACTAACCAGTCAGTGAAGCTGAGTAACTTGCTTGATTGAATAACCAGCTGAGTGATTGATTAGCTGATTGACGACCTGGTTCTGATTGAGAGGCTGGCAGCTGATTGAAAAGTCGAATGACTGTTCGTATGATTGATTAAGGGACTGAAAGATGGACTCACTGATTGACAGTTGACCGAGTTCTTAATAGATTGACTGACTGATTGATCTCTTGATTGATTGATTGACTATAATTTCGCTAAGCTTATTCTAAAGCCGCAGCCTATTCTTATATTCTATTCTTCTATTCAAATTCGGAATATTAAATCCATTAGCGAACCAGTTCAGTTATTGGTGAACAAATATATTGCGTGAACCATGTGAACTGAATTGAATCGCTGATATCATGAACGTGAATTGAACAGAATCTTCAATTTGTGCACCAAATTCAACTAAAGACTGAAATGAAATTTGAAACGAATTGTGTATGGAGTGCATATGCTCTTCTTGTTGTTGTTGTTGTGAGCAAGAAAATGCGATTTGCAACAAAAGCTCGCACTCACATATATTGTGAATGCATATGTATGTATGCTTATATGTATATGCGTGTGCATGTCTGTATGTCTGTTGAAAAATAGGTCAGCGCGCTGCGGTCGGTCTGTTGCTATCACTAGCAATCAGGCACACAAATATACAATCGTAGCAACAATGCCACACACACACACATATATACTCACATATATAAGTACATAGTAGGCAACAAATTAGAGCAACAACCCCCCGACAAAGAGCTCTCATTGCGATTCGGTGCCTAAAAACCCCAAACCCAAACCAAAAAAAAAACAAAAAAAAACGGAAACCTTATTCCGGGATTTTTTCAGTCATTACAAAAAGAGAGAGAGAGAGAGGGGGGTGTGGGGTAAAGAGGGAAAGGCGGGTGGTTGTGGGCTGTGGGATTTTTGAGACGATGCGCTCAACGCTCCGCTTCGATTGCCCAGAGCTTGTCATTCCACCTAGGCAAAGTATTCAAAAATAAACAAGGAAAAATAACAACACAAATATATACATACATATGTATGTATGTAAATAAATTGCAAAATAAAGTAATAACAACAAGGAAAGCCCCAATACTCTATTGTAAGTCGCAAGTTTAATGATATATTCTCAATATTGGTTTGATATAGTTAATAAGGTATATACATACATATATAGTATTATATGTCAACTATTTGTACTCAGATTTGAATTACAATGAGTCTAACTAGAATTTATTCAAATTTTTAGTATTTGATGCCAAATGTAATTCATGCAAAGTATTTCTTGTATTTAGAATATCTTAGATGGATATAGCGAATGGACTCTAATTTGTCAGAGTATTTCACTAAATGGAAACGACGAACCCTTTTCAAATATTGTAAAAAATTGTTCATCTATCGTCGAATCGCACAATGCATGCCTACTATAGAGCTCTATATTTATAGAACACTCAGATTTATATATATGTATATATTCATATATATTCATGAGCTATTGCGTTGTACTTTCCTATCGGAGTCGAAATATTTTTGCTGTTTGTGAACAAATATTATACATGTACAATAAATATATAATTTTTTAAATTTTTTTTTTTATTATTTTTAAATATATTTTTTGTCATAAGAAAGGGAATTTTGCATCGATTATTTGGGTAGCAAAGTAAATACGTTGCTGCTCTATAAACATACATATTTGAGCACTGGAAGTGATTTTCATTGAAGGCTCAGAGTGAACTTTAAGATGATTATGCTTTACTTTTTATAAAGGAACTCAAGCAAGATGGTATAATTTCAACAGCAACTGTGAAAAATTGAGTGAAAATAGTATTTAACTTCTGGTTAATACAAATTATTTGCATTTGCCGATTCTAGATAATTATAGATTATTTTCGAATGCATAGAATATAAGTTCAAAATATATAAAAATTATGGAAATTTAACTTGAATTTTTGCATCATAGACTAGACCTGGTTATATAGGGTATAAAAGTCGGTCGAAACTAGTGTGTTTGAAATATATAAAATATAAATTTGATAACGTTTCCAGATGGAACTAAAAATCATAGACGAAATGTCCAGAGTTTAGACTGAGCCATGCCCAAATATAAAAATTTGACATATTCATTAATTCTTGTTGACTATATATCGATAATAAACAAATAGGTATTTACAGAGACATCAATTTATAGATGCATTGTTTTTCATTCCAAAAACTCTTAAAGTTGTTTAATATAATTGATATACTTATTTATTTTGACACATATTTCATTTAAAATATGAAATATGGAATGCAAATGGTAATTGGGTCACTTGCATTGATTTGTCGCAGCTCTTGTTCCATTCTAATTCATTCCATTTAATTTTATTTTTGCATTTATATGGCAGCTGTTCCATGCTATTTCGCTTGTATACAACAATTGAGAGCAACTGAATTTCTAGCATAATATATTTGCATTTGTTGTTATTGTGGTTGTTGTTGTGCTGTTGCTGTTGTTGTTGCTTGCGTATTTATTCCAATCGCAGGTTGTTGAACTCCATATGTGACCGACCGCCCGAGTGGCTCGAGGCCCTCAAGACTTCGAGCCCCTCATAGGCTGCCGCTGCGCTGCTGCTGTTGCTGCTGCTGCTGCTGCTTCCGCAACGCTTTCTTCTCCTACTTCTACTTCTCCTTCTTTTTCTTCTGCATGAGCGCTTTATCGCTGTTGCTTTTGCTGCTGTTTATACTCTTACATTTATTATTCATATATTGTCAAAAAATATGAAATCCCTGAACGCGTTCTGTATATTCTCTATATTTGGAATACGATTTAGCCATGAGTTGAATGTCTTTTCATTTAAATATATTTCTATGTAGTATATGTTATTCATTGTAATTATTAATGAATTATACATTCATTTTGAAACATTTTTGTTTTGTTTGAATTTACTTGACTCTATTTAATTTATTTACTTAATTCTTTTATATAATTAAAATAAAAAATATGTGTATTAATTTAATACTGCTTAAAATTGATTAAAACTTGAATTTCCCTAAAATTAAATTTATTATTCTCAAAATTGAATTTTATTAAATTTTTGAAATATTCTTATTAAAAATTAAAGATTGTTTAATGTTAATTACAAATGCAATAATTAAATATGCATATTTGAACAGCTTAATATTTTTTATTCTTTTCTGTTAATTTTTGTTTTTAAAGCTTTGTTTCCCAGTTTAAAAGGCTTTATAATATAGAGCATTTGAAAATTTCTTTTACATAGTTATTTTCTCAAAAATAGTTATTTTCTGAAAATGTTTTTTTTTTTTATTTTTAATTTTTTTTTTTTTTTAGCCCAGATTCGTTCGCGTAGCTAAAGCTCAGCTCCCCTGCATGCTTAGGGCTTGCTGTTAACGCTCACTGTTAAACGCTCTAGTTGCTGCAATTGCTGACAGCAACAGCATCGCCATTGCCTAATCTCTTATTTCCGCTTCTTCTTCTTCTTCTACGTATGGCTCGCTGTTAATGCTGCTGTGGTTCTTGTAACTGCTGTTATGTTATTTCTAACAGCGGCTGATTTCCGCTGCCGCTGCTGCTGCTGTTGTCATCTGGCATCTCTTATCCAATGAGTCGTGCTCAAGTCCTTGTTACAATATTTTTCAATTGCATTTGGTTTGTGATTACTTTGGGTTCATCCACTGGGCGTTGAGACAACACGTGTTTCCTGCCATCTTTCTCATCACATCTTCTTTGTCATGTGCGTATGTATGTGTGTACATACATATGTGTAGCGCTTTCCAAATGCCCTAGGGGCGGGCTTTCAAAAAAATTGTTGCAAAAAACGTTGTTAAAACCAAGTTGAAAGAACTCTAATAGAGCGTTGATAATATCGCCGGACAGGCCTTGCTGGTTGTCATTGTTGTTGTTGTTGGCGTAGATGCTGCTACTCTTGTTGTTGTTGTCGCTAAGGTTTTTACTCTGCCTTTTTGATTGGTTTGACCGATTTACATTGTGAAAAGAAATGAGTTTTTTTTTATTATTTTTTTTTCTCATTTGCTGCTCGTCTAACTTCAAATACATACATATGTGTGTGTGGGCATATAGAGAAGAGCTTTTATTTTTGTCTTTCGCCCTAGATTTGGTCCGTCTGGCCAGCATTCAGTGTGTCTATTTTTTGCCATTTCTGATAATTAAAAAGCAACATTTGCCTTTATCGTTGTTGCTGCTGCTGCTGACTTCACTGCTGCAGCTGCTGCTGACGTCGCTGCTGCTGCTATTATTACTATTATTGGGTCTCAGCTTTAGCCTGTAAGCTGGCAGTTTGCCCAAAGCTTACAAATAACTGTTATTGCTATGCACACACAATGCCATTAGCTGAGCTTTTTGTGGGCTGAAGTTAATTAGAGCAGCAACTGTTATAAGGACAACGGTGAATTCGGTCAAATGGATAAAGCTTTATCCGCTCTGATCCGTAATTAGCTGCAGCTAATTCGCTCCCTCTCGCGTTTCTGTTAATGTGAATTCCTGTACATATATGTATGTATGTGTCTGTGTGAGAGAGTGCGTTTGCAGCGTGTAAGCACTTGCATAACACTGTTAAGCAGATTTAGTCCAGTCCAAGTGGGGTCGAGAAAGCCGAATGCTTTGCTAGTCACGTTTTAGCGCAACGGCGACATTTTGGCCATAAAATGTCGCATCATCGTGCGGTTACAGTAGCCCCTCCGATTGTGCAATAATGCCAGTTTGAACTAATCTCATTCGGATCACTTTCTATGTGGGCTGCTGCAAAGGAGGACGCAGTTGCCCCTTCAAAAAAAAAAAAAAAAAAAAAAAAAAAAAAAACAAACAAACAAACAAACAAACAAATCACGCCCCCCGCTCCCAGGTGGTGTTGTCTTTGTTGATCGAACTTGTTTTCGGGGCTTTAGTTCCAAGGGCTAAAAGACACACATAAATTTTGTGATTTCTTTTTAATGCGGATTTCTGCTTATATGCACATACATACATACATATGTATGTAAATATTAAATTTCTTAAATATATATGAAAATATGCATATGTATGTATATTCAAGCTGGCCTCAGCAACAATAAAAAATAAACATTAAAAAGAAAGTTTTTAACTTGATATATGCATGCAGAAACAGCAGCAGCAGAAGCAGAGACAGAGGCAGAAGTCGAGGCAGAGGCAGTGATAGCGGCGTCGCGACGCATGATGCCGCTGGTTTTGTCTAGTGTCAATGTCACGCCCTCCCCTTTGTGCGCTCTAAGCTGGCGTTTTGTTTAAATAATCGATGCGACCATAAGAAAGCGTAATAATAATAACAAAAATCATGCGCAAATGGTAGAAAACAAATCCGAATCACCGCAACGAACCAGACCAGACCAGACGACAACAACGATAACAACGGCAGCAACAGCAACAACAACAGTAACAGCCAGCTGCTAGAGACGAGTGAAATTTTTCTCCGGCGAAATTTCTTAACACTTTCATAAGAAGTCATAAAGTAAAGCGAAAGAGCGAGAGAGCGGGCGAGCTTCATAAATTAACTTAAGCACAAAAGCTGCTCAGCGAGCCGTGCGCTTGACTTTTGACTTGTCAAATGCGCACTTCATTTCGCGCAAATGAGCTCTTATTTTGCTTTATGGCGAATTTCCTTTGTGTTCGTGTGAGAGAATAAATACTGCAGCATTTTAGCTAATAACAGTGCGCTGTTAGCTAACAGGGGCATTGCTGATCCTTAGCTTAACATTTATTCACTTTTCTCATTCTCTCTCAACTACGCTGTCGGTAGCTGACATTGAACTGTGTCAGTGGCAGCAGCAACAGCAGCAGCAACAGCAACAACAGCAGCGTGTAATGGGGCGGGCTGCTGCGTCGGTGCGCGCTGGGGTTCTGCTGCTGCTGCTGCTGCGCGGTGCGCTCTGTTTGCGTTGGCTCTGCCCGTGTGCTGTGCTGCGTTGTTAGCTCTGCCTGCCTGCTGCCTGTTGCCCGTTCCATTGTTTGTTGCTGCTTGCTGGCGGACAACTTTATTGCTGCCTGTTGCTGCTGGCCACATCAGTCGTCGTAGTCGTCGCGGCCGCGTCGCGTTGTTCATCTTGTCTCTTTGCTGCGCTAAAAACGCGCGAGCGTTTGTTTTCATTTTTTTGTTATTGTTTCTTCCTTTTACTCGTGTACTGGATAAAACGGCCAGGCCATAAATATAAATCAGCATTTACTGTGCATTTACGGTTAATCAATAATTTGCATATGTTTATTGGCATTGATAAATGTGATTTGATATTGTTTCATGTGAAAAGTGTGCATTAAATGAGATCGCGTTCTGCAAAATGCCTCAGTCGCAGCAGAACAAGGATAAGCATGGAGTCGACTGCGACTATGCCTACGCCAAAGAGAGCAGCTGCCATCGTCGTCTCTTTGTCTGCATAGCCAAGGTGCCTAATCCCACTCTCTCTTTAGTTTAACTAACTGTAAAATACAAGCTTTGACTCTTACACTTTCAGAATATGCAAATATTTGTTCTTGGCTCTCTTACTTTCACTCTCTTCATTTTGTTAAATTGAGATTCTAAGTTCATACTTTAAAGGATGTAAATATTTTAAGCTATTCTTTAATGTTATATAATTACATAAATCAAAGCGTTGTCTTAGCTGCACATTACGCACTATTCTGCGCTTGACAGGCTATTAAACTCATCCTTTTTTTGTCTGCTTTGCCCACCCCTTCACGGCTCTTCCTTCGTTCGCCCCGCTATACGACTGGACATGCCTTGCGCTTGTCTTTGTCAGTCTCTTTGACTTTGACTTTAGCTTGTCTTGTGCTCTGCTCGCTCCCATCACTTGCAGTTGCAGTTGCCAGGCATGTTTCTGTTGTTCTTGCTGCTGTTGTTGTTGTTGCCTTTTCGTTTTTTGCTTGCTGTTGTTGCGCTATTTATAGACGCGCTTCATTAGTTTTTGTTGGCTATGCCTTTGCCTTTGCCTTTAGCTTTGCGTGTGTACTCTTTACTCTTTAGCTCAGCTGTCAGATGCGAACCTGACGCTGACTTTCAGTTTGATTTCCAGTTGCTGCCGCGTCTACCTTTATCTATTCTTCTTTAGAATGATGTTCATGCGTATACTGGTGTATATCTATGTATGTATGTGTATATATATGTGTGTGTGTGTGTTAAGCAAATGGCGCAGTAACGCAATAACTAATAGCTCCAATGCCTGAGAAAGCTGTGTTCTATGCTTGGAAGCAAGTTTATTCATATAGATATACATATGTATGTATATATATGAATGTATGTATACATGGATATCTTCATCTGAATACATTGTTCACTCTTTGTGAGAGTATGTGAGTGTATTTGTTTAATGCCAGATTTAGGCTCTGGAACATTATTATTTTTAGCTTGATGTAGATTAGATACTTGGCATAGACATCTTTTAATAGAGATGTCGGCGAGACATAATTCAAGTTGTGTTTAGTTGTTATAGAAATGCAAACAAAGCTTTGCCAGCTAACTGTTTTTGATGCATGCGATGAATGCGTTCGCTTAGAATAATTATTTTGATAAATGTTACACAGGCTAGGTAATTCTATGACTTATCTTGTTCTTCATTAGAATAAAAAAAATCGGCTTTACAAATAGGTCTAAATTTCTTGTCAGCTAGATTATCTGTCCGACTCTACTAATATGCACTTCCATAAACTCGTTTAAATTTAGAAGAAAATTGCCCTTGTCTTGTCAAGATATCGCCTGTTTGCTTTTAGATAGTAGAAAAAAAAAAAACTAACGGACGGAAAACGCATTTTTTAGTATATATAATTTATAGGTCAACATATTTGTATAACCTACATAGTACGATAAGACTTCTAGTTTCAGATATGAATTCAACAGGTCAGAAAAGGTCGAAACTGTAGACTCGTCTGGTCTGTTTATCAGAATTTCATTAGAGTCTGGTAGACTTTGCTCTTCAAGCTTTAATGCAGGAGACTCACGAGGAATGACAAATTGGCAATTGGTATTTACATAAGTCAAAGTATCGTAATGCCTTGGTTTGCAGCAAGAAATGGCATATCGATACTTATATCGAGTCCTCGTGCAAGCAAGTGCAATTTCAATCTGTCAAGTACCAATCGATGCTTGAGAGCTTCCGGCGGTCATTTTTTCGACATTCTGTGAGGAAAGAGAACGGAAGTCTGTTGGACGCGAATTAACCATGTCTTTATCCAAAGCAATTACATATAATCGCCATAATTGGAAGGATTCGAGTTGTCCAATTCTATGCCCGTCGTGCTTGGGCGAGAATCCGAACGTGCGCATGATTAAGGAGCGCTACGACAAGAATTGCAAGATTTGCACTCGGCCCTTCACCTGTTTTCGCTGGTGTCCGGGCATGCAGATGCGCTTCAAGAAGACGGAAATATGTCAGGCATGCGCACGTATGAAGAACGTGTGCCAGACATGCGTGCTGGACCTGGTGTACGGGCTGCCCACGCAGGTGCGCGACGTGGCCATCATGAACGCCAACAAGAGCGCTGCGCGGGCTGCGAAAAATAAAACGCTGATCAAGTTGTCGCGCATGGCGCCCTACTACACCCAGAACAGGTCGCGTATCTGCTCGTTTTGGCTGCGGGGCAGGTGCAGGCGCGCCGAGGGGTGCCCCTATCGTCACGAGAAGCCGCACGATCCGGATGAAGTGCTCTACAGTCAGAATATCAGGGACCGCTACTATGGCAACAACGATCTCGTTGCCGAGAAGATGCTGCATCGCGTCGGCCTGATGCCCAAGCTGGACGTGCCACTGGATAAAACCATTTCCACCCTCTACGTGGGCAACCTGTCCGAGCAGATCTCTGAGGCGGAGCTGCTCAATGTGTTCTATCCGTATGGCGAGATTCGCTCCGTCACTCTGGTGCCGCGCCAGAGCTACGCCTTCGTCCAGTACTTCAATCGCAGCGACGCCGAACTGGCCGCCGAGCGCACCTTCAGCAAGCTGTCGCTGAAGGGCCGCAGGCTCATCATCAAGTGGGCCCGCACGCAGCAGAGGCCCTTCCCGCTCAACTTCAACAAGAATCGCCGCTATGCCGGGGAGGAGCTCAGTTTTGGCAATGGCGAGATCTACATCATGCCGCCCGGCCTGAAGCTGCGCGACTTGCCACCCAGCCTAATCCCGACCTCAGTCTACAAGCAAATCGTGCAGAGATAAATCTTGCTGCCAAACTATAACACTTTGCACATTTCTCAACACACCGAGAGAAACTCCCGTAAATATTAACCAAATAAATTAACAACAATTCAATTTTCGCTGCTTCGACTGCTTTGACTTATGTTTACTTCTTGCCATAGTTCTTGATAGAGAATTGGTAGACAAATCTAACATCTAATATTTGCTTGCTCTGTTGCTGATTGACATCAAATTGAGAAATGGAATTTGTCGATATATTGCTGAGGTGAATAACTGCACAAGATGAGGGCTTAGGAGAAACCTATAAAGAGCTAACAGCTAGGCATACCCTGTAATCAAATTGGCTAAACAGTAAAAGTTGTGGTAGCACGCATAAAGTTGAATTAGGGCTGGAAAAGGCTTCAGTATACACATACATATACACATATACGCTGTTGCATCGGTGTGAGTTTATGATTTAACTTAGTTGCCTATTGCATTGGTATTAGCGTGAATGAGTTAGCATTTTATTGACAGTTAAAAAACCCATTGTCACTTAGAGTGAGAGAGAGTAGACAAAGACAACTATAGCTATTGCTGAGCATGGTTGTCCCGTTTGTTGTTACTCACTCGAGCATAGGGCTGCAATGATATCGATAATCAAAAAAAATGCAGCCAGAGATAATTAGTTGGACCAAAATAGGCAATGGCTCAAGATTGTCGGAAGAGCGAACCGGAAACTCGTGCAGATTTATAAAGGAGTATATATGTATATATAGTATATATAGTACATAGATTATGCACACCTAAAGGAAGCTATTAATTTAAGCTTTGATAGGAATAGATTCTTCAATTAAATCATTCTCCATATGTATGTGTGAGTGTGCATAGAATTGATAGAGCAGCTACAGCTCTGGCTTGTGGTTAACTTCGGGTATCTTCTAGTCGCTCACTTTCGTCAGCATATTTATATTTTGAAGCGAATAAAGTTTGCTCAACTCGCGTTCATCAATCAAACTGTGTTTCTTCAAATTTCTACATTATTTAATTCTTTATTGCCGTTGATATGCAAATGAGCGAAGCGACTGCGACTGCGACTGCGGCTGCGGCTGGGCCTTGACTCCGACCAAGAGTGCCCCATTTTGGGGTACTCCCCTCCGCGCTGTGCTCGCGCTCAATCTGCACGCGACTGCGCACCGAGCGGAAGCACATTAAATGTGCTTTCAGTCGCATATTTTTGAAAGCTATGCTAAAGAGTTTATATGCCCCCCTGCCTCCGTATCGTGCCCAGAGCAGCATCGCAACATCGCACCACCGCTTTGGTCACGCATAATGCGGCAGCCGGCATCCATTTCCGTTTGCTGGAAAAACCCAGTGGAAAGTGTCTGGCAAATGGCCGCCGCCTCTCGCAGCGGAAGTTTCGGCAATCTGCCAGTAATATCCTGCATCCTGGCTCATGCCAGACAAATTGTGCTCCAAGCAAATAGGAGCCCAATAGGAACGCAGTCCAATCAATGGGAATCCAATAAGATTGCGTGTGTGTGTGTGTGTGTGTCCAGTAGAAGATTGCCATTTAGATTCGCTGCCGGGAAATTGGAAAACAAATAATGTTGAGATGCAAAGGTGTTTGTTTTTAATTAACGAAACATAGTTGAGAATTTGCTAATTGGAACCTATATATATATACATTGTATGTCCGATTGGCACTCTTGCCCTCCAATTGGATTTGATATGCTATTCATCAGTAAATTATAGAGCTTGAAGCCGATTGTCCAACTCTTGCCTCAATTATGGTAATTGTCTACTAAATACACATTCGAACCCAATCCTTCAGTGAAGAAGAGCGAGCGCATGATCACGCAAGCTTAGCCCTAACCCAACTGACTGTCGATCCATTCAGTTGGAACCCTTATATAATTATTCATTATTATTATTATCTGTTGAGCCAGCGACACATGAAACGGAAGTTGCTGCTCCTCCAATCACGATCATTTCTGCCCACTCGTCCAAGTCTATTGTTAACTTTTAGAGCTGCAACAGCCAAGCGATAGCTGAAGAGGTTGATCTTGATCAGTGTATCCAATTGGCAGAACGCCAATTCCTATATGAGATAGATCATTCTTGCATATATTTTCCACACTCTGAGTTTATTATTCTTAAATATAATATCAATTCGTATATAATTCACTTTATGCATTTCTGAGTCCTTTGCTCTGTTTCTCTTGGTTTTTCTCCTATTCCTTATCTCTTTCGTTCTTATATTCGTTCGCTCACCTCATTATACTTTGTTATCTTTCCCTTTCTCTAAATCATTCTGGCAATTTCTCTTTTTCTTTAACTCTGACTTATTTTTCTTATTCTCCTGTAATCTTTTTCTCTCTCTTTCTCTTTTTCTCTCACTTTTACTCTATCCCTTTCTCTCTTTCTCTCTCTCTCTCTCTCTCTCTCTCGCTCTCTCTCTCCCTCTGTGATTTTTGCATTGTTCTCCCTCATTCACACTATCCTATTTTCTTTCTCTCTCCCTTCCACTTTTCAGTCCCTCTCTCTTTATCTCTCATTATCCGTTTCATTTCTTTCTCTTTATCTCCCATTCTGCCTCTTCCTCGTTTTTTCCTTAGCTCTCTTTTATTTTCTCAATCTCTTTCCCTTACTCTCCCATCTGTTTTTCTCTTTTTCTCTGTTCCCTTTCTCAAATCCGAATTTAAAGGGTGTTTGCTAGTCATACATCGTCTACTTGATTCACCTACGGCGATCACGACTAATGCTCTGATCGCAGTCACAGATAACATTAGTCACAACATTAGTCACTGTTTTGAAAATAAATTGTGTGATCATTGGATGATCGATGCTAAAAACGTGTCTATCCACACCTGGGCCTGTTTCTGTGTACCGCTAAATGTAACACACTCGTTCCATTAAGCGAAGACCTAACCGTAATTCCGTGTGTGCCTGAGCTGGAAGCGCCTCCATCAAAGAGTATTATAGACTAACAACAAAACTGTCATGCAACAGTGTCTTCGACTTCTTCGTTCTCGGTATACCCTGTTTAGAAATGCGAGCGAGCGGGTATTCCATTTTGAAGTATTTTCATTGAATGAGGAAACAATTCGCATATCACACAATATTTTTTATCGATAACATTAAGGTAAATTGCGATTCTATCGATCGTTGAGTATATAAAATATTAAAACTAAATATATAGTATATGAATGCCCTAGATTTTCGTATTATATAAATGGTATATATGCACATCCATATTCGAGAACCTTTAATGCAAATATCCAAATGCAGAGTATCTAGCTAGTCGGACACATTTCCCATATATTTTTAATCGTGTGCGCTGCATATTGCGATTTACAGTTTCAGATTGTTTCTGCTTCTGGTTGGTGTTTTTTCTGCTGTGTTCTTACTTTGCATGCGCAGTTATTTATGCCCTGGCAAATCGGAAAGAGCTGGAAAAACGTTTCACTTGTTGCTCTATTAACTTGGCTCGCAGAGCTCTGCTAATGGCCAATAATTTCAGTCATGGCACAAGCACGTTCCGCCTGCTACGCGTCGCAACCGGAAATGCTGTTCAACACACACACACACATATGCATACTCAAGCACATATATACACCGACAGATGTATGTTCTACCCCAATTCAATGGAATTAAATAACCAAGAATCAGATCAGATTTTGAAGAGGAAACTGAATCGTCTAAGGCGAAATGCAATCAAGCCAAAGGCCAAAGAAATTTGATTCAGCTCAGAGCAACATATTACTCTCTCTTAAACATCAGCTAGACAATAAATACATTATGTGGGCGTGACCCTCCTCAATTAGTCAAAAAGTGTTGCTCGTTCTGGCTCTAGTAAAGCAAAAGTGTAAAAGTGAAAGTCGACCCAAAAAAACAAAAAAAAAAAACAAAAAAAATGTCGTTTCACTGGGCTCGCTGCGAAATCGAAATAGTCATCGATTGCATACACACACATACGTACACACCTCACTGCTAATCTGTGTGGGTGTGACGTCATAGACACGTTAATATCAAATTTGATGATGAAATTGATTTCCATTATAGATTCTGACCTTAGCCAATGCCGATGCAGTTGCTTGAATCAAGGGTATTCCCATTTCTGTGAACTTCTTAACTTATTATAGGGTATTGTGGCTTATGTAATTTAGTTTTCCTCGTCAGACGAGTTGGTATTGTAAATTGATTGAATTGTAGAATATTAACTATTTATATGAATATGTTTATTGTTCTAGATATGATAAATACTATATATATTTAAAGATCCCTTTAATTTTCTGTTGTTCTCTATTCAACTCGCTTCTCTTTAATACATATACTTATAATACTTTTCAAGGCGATTCTGATCAAAATTCTTATCTACGACTCACCCAAAAATATATTTCATTAATGTATATCTAATAACTATATATTTTAATAGAAATCKCTTGATAACTTTTTGTTTTTGTTCTTTGAAATACCTGAGACTTGTACACATTTAAAAATAGCCATATTCAATTGTCTTTATAATAACTGTTGCCTTATAAAATATACTTTTATATATAAACATTTGTTCGACCTATACCTAGGTACGGTATTATATATTCGGTGTTAGCCCCTTCTTCTTTTCCCCTTTTATCTTCATGCTTAAGCTTGGCTTTTTACAAGCATATACATATATGCATCATTGTTTTATCTGCCACGCCCACATCTGAGGCTGCGCTGATAATTCGTGGAAATAATATGCAAACATACACAAAAAAACAATCCGAAAAAAAAAAACAATTAAATTGAAAAAGGTGACGCACTCGCTCACCATTCAAATTATCGCTGTCATACACTGGGGGAAATTGGGGGGATAACCAGTTTCGTAATATGTAGGGTATGCGCAATTCGTTCAATTTTAATTCTGTACTCACGATTTCGCTCGAAGAGTTACGTAATATTCCTATAAGTCAGCAGTTTTATTTAAAACGGCTATTTATCACACAAAATACGTGGAAAGACATCTCATCAGGCCGAGAGATACGTTCTTAACTTTTTCTTCTTGCGCCAGACCTCATGTTCGTGTCTGTGCCGCTCTTAATGAAACTCGGACACGTAAGATGCTCACGTACACTGACTGCAGCAGTCCAAAAAAATAGACATATATATATTGTATATCAGATTATATTTATTTACTTGATTTTTCAAAACTTTTTATCGAAATGGGTAAAAATATGAATTGCAAGAAATAAAGGAAAAAAAAAAATAAATAAAATAAAATTTATTTCTATATCTCTTAAGACGTGGATCAACATACTTCATAATATACATATGTATATACACAGTACAATCCGATAATTCGAAATAGTAGTGGGTGGTTTTTTTTTTTGTTTCGATTTACACAGAAATTTAAATTATCGAGAATTATTTAGAACGAATTTCATTCAAAGAGATCGATTTTTTTCGATTTATAGCGATTTTTGTTTTAGCGGGGTACGAATTATCGAGACTTGACTGTATTAACTTTTCCATCTATCGATAACGTATTTGAATTTGAATATATCGATACAAGAAGTATTAAATAAAATAAAACTTAGAATCGCATAAGAAACCAAATCGTTATAATAGATTTAGAAAAGTAACAGAAGATATTGGGGATATATCAAATCTTTATATGTTATAAGAATTGGAATTCATATATATTTATTGCAAATGCAAATTCTAAGCTTTAGATTTCTTAAGTCTTAAAATTATATTTTTAAATTCAATCGATATTTATCGATTTACTATGAGTACAAATTTAAAAATGTTAACAGTTAACAAAATAGATGAGCATCTATTTTAAGAACCTCATTATTTAACCATAGATACTCAACACTTGCAACTAATTTCTCTCAGTGCATTGCTGCAGCTGATATCGCATATGATGACGGCATTTCTGTGTGTTTTAAACTCCTGCGACGTCGCTCGATGCAGCAGCAGCAGCAGCAGCAGCAGCAGAGCCGCTGTCGGTGACATATGAGCATTAAAAACGGGATGACTCAAATCGTTGGCATGCTAGGGCAGCGACAGCGACGGCGACGTCGACGGCGACGGCGACTTCGACACTTTTGACCAGTTGAGGCGGCGCATGCGCTGTTAGTTTTGCTTCTCGGAATTGTACCTGTCCCAGCGATCGAATGTCCCAAGCCTTTCAAACGTTTCTCTGTCTTTTCGGCTCCTTCTCTTTTATTTTTTATTTTTTTTTGGCTTCGGGTCTGCAGCCGACCTACCCACCCCGCCTCAGCACCCCGTCGCCCTGCCTAGCAACCAATAGCAATGCAGTTCAATAAAGTTCGTTAGCATGGCACGACTCGGCTCGCCGGCAGAGGCTAGTCATCAAAGTAGCGTCGCGACGTCGACGTCGTCGTCATCGTCGTCGTCGTCGGCAGCGACGTTAACAGCTTGGAGCGTTTGCTGCTATCAGCAGTTGCCTTTGTGTTGCTGTTGTTGCTGTTGCTGTTCCCTTTGTGTTGTTATTGTTATTGTTCTCTGTGGTTCTGTGCGGTGCGCGCTTCGCTCGTTCCAATCGCTGCGAAGAGCGCGCGCGCTGCTTTTTTCCGTTTCAGTAATGAAAGAAACTTTGAAAGCGTCGTGTCGCGAAATTCAGTGTCAGTGCCGCAGAGCCAACTGCATGCTATACCGTTACATATAGCGCCTTTACACATATAGATATATGTGTACATATAAACATCTATAATATACCACAGTGTCCTTATTTTTTGTTTGTTTATTTCTGTTTTGTGCTGTGCGTGGTAAAAGCTTGCCAGAATGGTGCATCTCTATCAGCGTCGACGCAATCGCGAACAGGTGGGTGGCGTCAGCGATTAGATCACACACCTTTGGCTCCGCTGCCATTACTATATACATGTGTAATAAACACGCCAAGTAGCGAATCGAATCGAATTAGCCGTCGCCGCCAACGTGTAACGCATGCCAAGTATCTAATTAGCAAGCAGGCAGCAGAAGCAGCAGCAGCAGCAGCAGCAACAGCAACAGCAGCCCGAACGCATGAATGAACACAGTCGAGGAAGAGAAGAGCAGCGAGAGGGCAATACAAATAGAAATAGGGAAATGGAATTGGAATGGGWATGGGTATGGGAAGTGGAAGTGGAAGTGACGACAGTGGCGCAATTGAAACTGGAACGGGCTGAGAACGGGGGACAGTGGGACAGTGTGGCTAGAGAACGAGCTACGAAATTGGGTTTGCTTTGCCACTCGAATTCCGAGAATTGTTTGCCCATCGGGTCGAACTAACAAATATCCAATTGGAATCACATTAGCATACAAGCCTTTTCTTTTCTTTTTTTATTTATTTTTTATTTTTTTTTACCCCACAATTCGGTATTCCCTTTCACATTTGGGGTACTCGAGGCGATTCGCAGAAATCTATGCGGTTTTTGCGTATATGATATTTTCAGAAAATCTAGACAGCTGCCCATTAGGTTGCTTTACTTCCACTCGTATTTACCTTTGCGCTCTCAATGTGTATGTAGTCTAGGTAAATGTATGTGTGTATAAGTGTATGTATATACATATACCTGTGCTCAAGTGCTATAAAAGTTTATTGCTTGGGGTTGTTCTATAAGTCAAAATTTATACATATGTATGTATGTGTGTGTGTGTGTGCCCATAGCAATACTCGTGATTGATAAGTAATGAGCCGTAGAATTGAGTGTGTGCTAAGATTAAGCCAAATCAATAAACGGGAAGCAAGCTAACATATACGAAACTCTATCAATAACAGTTATCTTTTACTCGGAAATGGAGTATAATTCAGATAAATCTACATACAGACAYGCACACATACATACATATATGTCTATAATATTATGATTGCGTTGCGACTCTCAATACTTTCTTTGTCAATCCAATTTTCTTCCCCTTCTGTATTTTCATTGATAACTGATACTAGGCAAGCCCTCGATAGCGCGTGAGCAAAGTCCTGTCATAAATGCATTTCATAAATATGTAGCGTAGAATATATGAATGAATACATATGTATACACATGTATGTATGTATGCCAATATTTCCGGATTCATTTCATCACAATGGGCAGGCAATGTTATGTATAAGTCTATTTATAGAGCAGATCAGCGCTAAAATTATGGCAACATTGGGTGTAATTCTATAAAGTATGATCAGGAGGAGGATTCAAGTAGATAAAGTCCTCAAGATGTTGGTATATTCACAAAGGCTTGCTGTAGAAGTCAAGGACTTGAAATGTGCAATATATTAATATTCCTTTAATTTTCCGATAGTATGTCCTTTTAAAATATCGATAAAAATCGATACTTAAACTTGATCTCTGGCTCCTTTGTATATAAGAATGTGTCCGTTTTTTGGGTATTCCGTAGTCAAGGTCCCCCAATAAACACGCTCTTACTAGTTTAATAATTCCTCTCTGGAATTGACAGCCAATTGAGATTTCTCTATGGCAATGAACATCAACATCTGTATGAAACTTTGGAGCTCAGACGTTATCGCAGCTCCATTGACCTCTTTGAACGGCTTCACAATGCCGAGTAACTAGGCAACATATGTTTGTTGTGGGGCTTTTGCCTATCTGGCTAAAGACTCATTAGGCAAATGTATTTTTAATGCTAATTGTGAATAATGGCATCATTTCTCAGCCAGAGTCATCAATCAGTCAATCATCCAAAGCTATTCATTGGGAAAGTAATGTCGCCATTAACGTCAATTGGAGACTGTCTAAAATCAATTAGTCATATTTAATGTGAATGTCTCAATTAATTTAAGTAAATTGTAACGACTAATATTGCGAAATGTCTACAAAGATAATGAATTACCGAACAGAGATGTAGGACTGTTACATTGTTCTATATATCACATATGTATATCTATTAATGGAAATCCCATTTGATATAAGTTTAGCTATTAGCAGTGTTGATCTAGTCAACAAGTGGAAGTCTGTATACAGACTTTCGACTCTACCTGTCATCTATTGATTTCATATTTGCTCTGCTGTAATTGCCTAGCCATAGCCAGCTGAGAATCCTTAAATTATAGTCTGTGGCTGATCAATGAAGTGTTAACTGATAACTGACTTAAATTACATTTACCTGAACTGAAATAACTTTAGTGATATGCAGCTTGAATGAGTAAGAAAACTCTGAACTCCGAATTTTGTGAAATTTGTAGCCGATACTCAGATTATAACAAAAACCCAAATTTGATAAAAGAATGGGAAAAGTTCATTCCAAATTTAGAGACTCTAGCTCTAGACTCAATTTAAGAACTGAACTCCGATCACTTTCGTCTTCGATAACATTTAAGTGGAATTAGTTATCGATTGTCTGTAAAGCACACGTGATCTGCGATTATTTAGCGACCTATACAACAACTTTAGGCCTCTAGCTCTGAGATGCTCTGAGAGCGAGGCGTTTTTACATACGAAGGGACGAGTAAACAGGCAAATGGACAGTTGCCGTGTTGATCAAAAATATACTTTATGGGTTCGGCCACGCCTCCCGCCATACATACACTTGAACAATGTAAAATTTTCAATGGGTTGAAATGAGAGAAGTTCTGTCGAAATTTGAGTCTCATAGGAAACAACCTTTATAAAAAACTATAAAAACTCTTTCATATCTACACAAATAAAAAACAAAAATTGTTTTTAGCGCAAAAGTCTGAATTATGAATCTATGTATTATGAATGGAGCCCTCAAAGCGTTCACAACTTAATCTAATCTCTTCAAACACATACATACATATATGTATCACCTTTATAGAGCTAAACACTGAATCTAATATGAATGGATCTCTCAAAGAATAAAATTCTATATTATATATTTTATATAAGTGCCTTTTCTCTCTATTAAGAAGTGTTTGTCTCTTAAATGTTTCTCCTCCACTTCTCGTGCCGCACATTGCTTTTGCCTACAATCATCGATCGATCCATTAGAGATATACTACACACCATGCATACATACATACATACATACAAACGTGACATTTCAATGCTTAATTGTCGAAATCTGTTTCGCAGGCTATCAAACAATTCATTGATCTCTGCAACAATTTAAGCATCAACTGCAACAACACAGCCGCAGCAGCAGCAGGACCAACAACAACAACAACAGCAGCAGCAGCCAACTCCAACTCCAATCACTGCTCGAATGCCAGCACATCAAATTTTCATGTCAGCATCAATACACAGCAGCCAACAACAACAACAACAACAATACCAACAGCAACATCAGCCACATCATCATCATCAGCAGCAGCAGCAGCAGTAGCATCATCATCATCATCATCGTCGTCGTCATCATTGCCCATTAGGCGTCACATTTCGCACACGACAGCCGTCAAGTTTCTGTATGCCCGTAAATTTGATATACCACGAGCCGTATCTCTCTACGAGCAGCACGAGCAGATACGCCAGCGGGAATACCTTTACAACATTGATGCCAATGTGGAGCCGTTGCGCTCCGAGCTGCAAACGGGCAAATTCACAATATTGGTAAGCATCAAAGACTCTAACTAGACAGTTGGCTACTCACTAGCTCATTCTCTCTTTATCTCACTCTCTCTCCCTCTCCCTCCCCTCTAGCCCGCCCGCACGTCGAGTGGCGCGGCCATTGCGCTCTTCACGGCCAATCGGCACAGCCCGTTGAATGCCTCGCATACGACCACATTACAGGGTATCGTCTATCAGCTGGACTGTGCGCTGCAGGACACGGAAACGCAGCGTGCGGGACTTGTTTTCATCTACGATATGAGCGGCTCCAAATACTCGAATTTCGATTATGATCTATCCCAGAAGATTCTCACGTTGCTCAAGGTGAGTTTTCTTTTGTACTTCGTTGCATACTTTGCGGCTGCACGGGAAATTCCCCTGCGCCCTGAGCTAATGTTTGCTTTGTGTGGCTCTGCTTGACACACTTTTTGGCGCTCGTCAATGTGGGTCAGTGGGGCGAAATGTGCTGTAGCTTGTTAGATATACACACATATATACATATATGCATATACCTTTATAATTCATATGCCTATTGATGTCAAAGTTTCGTTTGGGGCATTTTGTGCCAAGCTAACTGAACTGGGCCCGTAGCTCACAAAAGTTAAGTAGAAAATTTGCAGTTATTTCTCTTACATCTGATTGTAATCGAGCCGGAGTTTGAGAGCATAAAAAGTTTGTTTTTGTGTTTTTGTGTGCTCCATTGTTGCTGCAATTCCAGTTGCCAACTGCTTCAGGTATTCCGTTGCCTTGCTGGATGAGCTAACAAAAGAATAGCTCGGAAATCCTTGTTGCTCTCTTGCCAAGCAGCATGAACAGCGGAAGTAGTCGAGCCTCATAATCAGCGTAACAACAATGTCAGCTCGACATTTCTATATAGCAATGTGTATATATATGTGTATGTATATCATATATGAATAAACATGTATATGTGTATATATATATATATATATTAGACAACAATGTGTCGGTCATAACGTTGCCTTTTGTGCGCCTACGCCAAATGCTGGAATCCGCAAATAAGACGTCACATTCTTTCTTGTAACGTAGCTGTGGGTAAGGGCAAACCATGAATGGAGCAGCTAAGAGAGGGGGGGAGGGAGGGAGGGCAGGCATGGCCGGGCAGCTGCTGTGGCTATACCTACAACAACAAAACAAGCAACAACAACAACAACAGGTAGCTCGTAATGCAGCACGTTTGCCTGTTTTCCATTTCATTCAGTTTTATTTGCTATTTGCATATACGAGGCTGAGCTGAGCCAGCTACGACAAAGACAGAACACACACACAGACAGAGAGACACACACGCACACTCATAAACTATGTATGTAAAGTACAGACACGCTGTGCGCGTTTTAGTGGCACTTAAACTTTGGAGAATTCGCGGGATTATTATGCAGACAATGGGATAGAGACAAAACGGACGTAGATAAAAAGATATACCCACTCACACACATGTAAATATAAATGGAAATGTTTATGTAAATGTGACAAAGATATGCAGCTTAACATATGCTAAAATTAAGTACCCAAACTAAGTGTTACAAATGCCGGCTGGTTGTCAATCAAGACGTTAGCTCCAGCCAGGAGCAGGTGAATTCATTCAGGATAACATCCGAAAAAAAGCAGAAAATTAAAAAAAAATTTACATGTCTGTATAAAACCGCTTGTATATGCGAGCATCCGACAAATGTGTTAAAAACGAGAGAGAAAATAAAAAAGAAAAACAACAAAATAAAAAGCTCAGCAATCAAATAATTTGCGTGGGCAACAAGCAGCGACGCGTTGTCGCGACGACCGCAGCAGCGACAGCGGTAGCGGCCAAGAGAGCCTAAACAAATTGAGAGCACGCAACGCTTTGCTCTCTCTCATAGGTGCGTGCTTGTGCTCAATGTGTTTGCGTGAGAGAGCGCGTGCGAGAGAGGGACAGAGTGACAGATTGGAAGGTAAAGCAATGCGTGTGAAATGTCCATTGTTGCCGTACTATTCATTAGTAGCCACACAGTGGGACAAAAACACAAAGATGAAGAATATTTGTTGACAATTAAATTGTATTTAATGCATTATTAGCTGTTTTAACTGTACAGTGAGACAAAAGCAGAAAAATGAGGAGAAAAAGAAGAGTCATTAATGATGCCAAGTGTATTTATGCCACAGTTGTTGACAATTAATTATACTTAATGTTGAAGTGCATTAGTAGCCACTGCACAGTGGAGCAAAAACAATAGAGGATAACAAGAAGAAGAGTCATGAAAAATGTTAAATATGTGTTTGTCGGATTTTTAGACAATTAAAAAGTATTTTAATTATATATATATTATTGTTTATCTTAAATTAGATCAATTACTGACCAGTGTACCTATGGCTTACCTATGGGTAACCTCTGAGACTCTCGCACACTCATCGTACAACTTTGTAGCAGTTGCGTATGCGCAACACTTGCCGTCTCTCATATTACGCATACGCAGCATGTGGCTCGAATTTATGGGCATGTGGTCAATGCTAAGTAAAAGCGCTTGTTTATGCCATAAACTAAAGACAAATATCAATATATGTGTGTGCGTGTGTGTTGAAAGGTAGATACGTAAAGATTGCTTGCATATTGGAAAGCGATCGTAAAGAGCTTGATGCGTGGCACATTGCAACAGCTGCTAAACAGTAAACATTCACACAGACAGACACGCACACGCACACACACACTCACGCACGCCTAGTCGCATTGACACATTTTCACTCTCGTTTTTAGCGCGCCGCGCGGCTTCTCTCAGCAAAAGTTTTGCTTGCGCATACTCACACGCACACACACACTCATTCACTCGCGCACTCCCACTCGCAATCGCATTCCAATACACTCGCACTCTCAGCTCGTCTCTCGGCACTGCTCTCGTGGCTAGCGCGCGCCGACGCTTGTGGCTATCTTTCGCTTGATTAACTAATTCAGTTGACGAGTTCTATTCGAACGTAATAGATTGATTATAAGCAACAGCAACAACTGACGCTGCCGTCGCGACGTAAGGCAAAGAAAGTTACGAAATTGACGAAAGAATTAAGTGAGTGCGTCGTGCCGGCTCGTTAACCACCGTTTCCGTTACGCCCTCTCATTCGTATTCTTACGTATTTGTCGTTGTCGTTAACGGCAATTGAAAGCAGCGCGCGTAGCTCGGTAGCAAAAGCTTTGTATTTGTTGTCTTCAGTGTTGTTCGTGTTCAACTTCAATTTCTTAAACACAAACGAGATTACAAAAACAAAAACAAAAAGCARAGAAAAGCTTTTGTCGTACGTATATCTATGTACATATGTATGTCTTTAGTTAGCTGCACTCAACTCAACTTAATTATCTACTACTTATATAGAACTGATATTATTATTTTTAGGCTCTCACACTTACGTGCATACATGCATACCTACATATAGAGATATATGCATGCACATACAGACGTGTTGTGTTCATTCATTGCTCAGTTGGCTTAAATAAGCATATTGCGTCGATATTTTGTGTTATTTTTACAACGTGCTCTTTTGTTGTTGTTTGTTGATGCTGTTGTTGCTTTTACTGTCTGACATTGACGCAAATGTTCAAGTTATATGTGCACGTCTACAAATGCACGTGTATATGTATGTATGTCTGTGTGTGTGTGTGTGAGTGAGTGAGCGTGTGATTTGCTTGTGAACTTAAAATGCAAATTCAAAGTCAACGCTATAATCTACCTCAAATTGTTGTATTACTTACATAAATACATGCATATACACACCTGTGTATGTGTGCATGTGCCTGTCTGAACGTATGCCGTGCAGCTTAATTGAATCCAAACAATTTTTGGCTTTTGACGCTTCCGCCTTGACAGTCTCGAAGACAAACGTTATCCATGTGGGCGTTCAAAGTTGGCTGCCAAGGCTAAAATAACTGTACACAATTTAAATCAAATTGGCCAATGTTGTGGTCACACTGCCTCAAGATCATGTGTGTGCAGCCCTTACAAACGGTTCTCGTGTTCCTTGCATATATCCCTGGAGCTAGTATGCGCAGATTGTGCTTGCAGCCCTGGCCTGGAATAACCACCCACAAACAAATGAAAACAACCCAACGGGACAGCTGCAAGAAATGCAACCGTGCAGCGTGCAAAAATAAGAAGCGAGCAACGAAAACAACCCTCAGGTGGCACGGCCTGTGTCGAAAGCAACCCTAGTCTCGAAAGCTGTTAGCGGTTTATTTTCGAGCAGGGTGGTGAGCGCAAAGCATTGGCAAAGCGTGCTCTCTCTCTTAGCTAGTGCTCTCTGGCAAACACACACATACTCACACGTACCTTTGGTGACGCGCTCTCGCTCTCGCACTCTTTCGCTCGCTCGCGTCACTTTCCTTTGCTGTTGTTGTTTGTTGACGGTGGTGGGAGAGCGCGCCTGCGTCAAGAACCAAACGTTGACGTTGGCGTCGCGTGTTGCCGTTATAATGTTAACCGCTGCCGCCAACAGCAGCAGCAGCAGCAGCAGCAGCAGCAACGACGTCGACAGCGCCAGCAGCAGGCAAATAGACGTAGTTCAGCTCTCCACGGCGACGCGCAGGAAGCAAAAGCTGAGCGTTAAACAGTTAATGCATTCAATAAAAAGAAAAACAAGTATAAATACTATTCACTAGAAACGGCACTTGATATTTGTGTTCAACTGAATTCGAATATTTATATAAATCGAAGACTTTTGTGCTTTCTTTATTTTTTTTTTTCAAAAATATTTTACTGTGACTGCAAAAAGTGAGCAACGGCCTAAAGAAAATTGTAAGCAAAAACGAAACGCACTTGTGTGCGTTCGTCACTCTGTCTCTATGTCTCTGCCTCTGTCTGTGTGTTAGTGTGTGTGTGCGTGTGTGTGTGTATCTATATGCTGCTGCAAGTGCCACGATTTGTTGCTTAAATATACGTTCCAAATCCAATAAGAGCTGCAACAACAACATTTGATAAGCGAGAAAAGTATCTACAAGTGCAAAAGGGAAGACAGACGCCTGCCCTCCCACTCCCACTCTCTCCCTCTCTTTCTCTCGTGTGCCTCCCTCCCCCATCGGCTGCTGTCTAACTGTAATTGTAACTGTGAGCAGCGTGTGCATTGTGAATTGGTTTGTTTTGTTTGTGTTTTTGTATTTCTTACTTTTTTTTGCTACAATTTGCAAATGTTTTCATTATTTTTTACATTATTTTGGATGCAGCAATTGTGTAACCGACAACAACAACAACAACAAATAAACAACATTGAAGCGCATTATATAAATAATAAAAAAGTAAAAATGAACAACAACAATAATCAAATCTGAAAAACTAACAAATCAAATTGCCAATTGA